AACATAATATTCAAAAAAATAGTTAATATAAACTATATTTTAGATAGCGGTTCCACGTTAACCGCTATCTAAACTGTATTTTAGATAACGGTTAAGGTTTAATCGCTATTAGATGTGCACTTGTAAGAGCGGTTCCACTGGAACCGCTATCATATACAACCATTATGATCGATTACATTTTTAAATAACCGATCATATTGGATAATTTTTTCAAATAATTAATTATAATCGATTAGTTTTCTAAATAATTGATTAGAATTGATTAGTTTTTCAAATAATAGATTATAATTGATTGATTTCTCAAATATATATTAAAAAATTATAAATAAAAATATAAATTATTTAAGAATAATAATTATTGTAAACATAAAGTAGAACATGAGAGGAGATGAGGATGATAATATAATGATGGAATTGACAAAAATGCAGAATTGAGAAGTTAAAAAAAGAAAAATTGAAGAAAATAGAGATTTAATTATACTTTTAATAAATTTAACATAATAATAGTTTTGATTTTTATTTTTAAATATTTATTTTAATTTTTTAAAACAGAGAAACTATAATTTTAGTGTCTAAATACTAAAATTTAAGAATTAAATTTATTATTATTTAATCTTTTAATTTTAGTATTAAAAATTTAAATTATATTTTATTAAATTAAAATAATTACAACATATTTTTCTACTTTGAGAATGAAAAATATAATTAAACTAAAACTGAAAATATTATAATACATTTTTGAACTCTTTTTGATTAATTTTTTTCCTAATTTTTTATAAAGTCAATTTTAATATTTAAAAGTATTTAACATTTTTCTTTCTGAAATGTTTTCTGTATTACCAAATTTAAAAACATAATATTCAAAAAAATAGTTAATATAAACTATATTTTAGATAGCGGTTTCACGTTAACCGCTATCTAAACTGTATTTTAGATAGCGGTTAAGGTTTAACCGCTATTAGATGTGCACTTGTAAGAGCGGTTCCAGTGGAACCGCTATCATATACAATCACATTTTTTTATTATAATCGATTAAAATTTCAAATAATCGATTATATTCGACTATTTTTTCAAATAATTAATTATAATCGATTAGTTTTCTAAATAATTGATTAGAATTGATTAGTTTTTCAAATAATAGATTATAATTGATTAATTTCTCAAATATATATTAAAAAATAATGAATATAAATATAAATTATTTAAGAATATTAATTATTGTATACATAAAGTAGAACATGGGAGGAGATGAGGATGATAATATAATGATGAAATTGACAAAAATGCAGAATTGAGAAGTTAAAAAAAGAAAAATTGAAGAAAATAGAGATTTAATTATACTTTTAATAAATTTAACATAATAATAGTTTTGATTTTTATTTTTAAATATTTATTTTAATTTTTTATAACAGAGAAACTATAATTTTAGTTTATAAATACTAAATTTAAAGAATTAAATTTATTATTATTTAATCTTTTAATTTTAGTATTAAAAATTTAAATTATATTTTATTAAATTAAAATAATTACAATATATTTTTCTACTTTGAGAATGAAAAATATAATTAAACTAAAACTGAAAATATTATAATACATTTTTGAACTCTTTTTGATTAATTTTTTTTCCTAATTTTTTATAAAGTCAATTTTAATATTTAAAAGTATTTAACATTTTTCTTTATGAAACGTTTTATGTATTACCAAATTTAAAAACATAATATTCAAAAAAATAGTTAATGTAAGTTTTGATGATGATCGATTAAATTTTCAAAATATTCAAAATAATATATAATACATTTCTATGTGATTTCTATCAAATTATAGATTGGAAATAAACATTTTTAAAAACTCAAATTATAGATTGGAAATAAATCTATAAAATTTGAAAAATGATGTTATATTTTTAAAAACAAATATTAGAAAAAGGTTTAAAAACATTTATAAATTATATTTATATGTCCAAAATATTAAAGATATCTACATTTAAAAAAATACTAAAAAATATTAAAAGTTATACTTTAACTTAATGAAAATATTTAAAAAAAGTTATATTTTTTAAAGTATTAAAAAATATTTTGTAATATATAAGTTAAAAAAATTATCATTAAATTTTTTTAAAATTATTAGTTTTGTAATTTATATACAATGAAAATAATATAATGGTATATTAGTATATAAATATATAAATATATATAAATATGTAAATATATAAATATATAAATATATAAATATATCAATATATAAATATATAAATATATCAATATTTAAATATATATTAAAATATATAAATATATTTGTATCTATAGATTTTATAAATATATAAATAAATAAATAAATATATATATATATATATATATATATATATATATATAAAGATGTAAATATATAAAGATATAAATATATGTAAAGATATAAAGATATAAATATGTAAAGATATAAATATATATCTTTAATATTTTGTACATGTAAATATAATTTATATATATTTTTAAATCTTTTTCTGATATTTATTTTTAAAAATATAATATTATTTTTAAAATTTAATATTTAAATTTTTATCATTTTTTCAAATATATAAAAATATAATTGTATAAGGATATAAATAAATATATAAATATATCAATATATATATATATATATATATATATATACAAAATATAAATATATTAATATATAAATATATCATTATATAAATATATAAATATATATATATATATATATATATATATATATCAATATATCAATATTATCCCCTCATATATTATTATACATTATTAGCGTAATTTTAGTTTAATTAAAAATTGGAATACAAATATATTATATTATATTAATATACCATTATGTTATAATATTTGTAATTTATTTTTATAGTGTATAAATTACAAAACTAATAATTTGTATACTATACTAATAGTATAATATTATTTGTATAAAAAACTAATATCTTTATATATAAATATATGTAAAAATATAAAAATATAAATATATATAAAAATATAAAGATATAAATATATCAATATATCAATATATAAATATATTAATATATAAATATATCAATATATAAATATATCAATATATAAATATATCAATGTATTAATATATATTAAAATATATAAATATATTTTTATTTATAGATTTTATATTTATATATTTATACGGATATACATTTATTTGTATATAAATATAATTTATTTGTAAGTTATTATTAAAAAATCCTAGTAGCTCGATGGTTGGGCTTTTAGCCTCCAACTCTAAGGTATCGGGTTCGAATCCCGACAATGACAATAAACCTAATAATAAGTTAAACTTCTAAAAAATATAAATAAAAACTTAAATAAGCAAAAATATAATTAAAAATGTAAATAAATAAAAATAATTAATTTTGTTATTGATTTAGCGACCGACTTAAATCGGTCGCTATTTTTTTAACTTTGTCACCGATTTAGCGACCAATTTGATATATTAATTTCGGTCGCTATTTTGCGACCGAAATTAAATCGGTCGCTATTTTGCGACCGAAATGAAAATCGGTCGCTAACACATTAGCGACTGGGCTTTTTGCGACGACGCTATTTTGCCATTAGTAACCGATTTTTTCGGTCGCTAAAATGCTTTTTTCTTGTAGTGTTGGTCTTGCCAAAAACAAACTTCTTTCTAATCCTGATCAATATAGATGTTTGGTTGGTTGATTTATTTGTGTTTTACTCGACATGAATTAGCATATTATATGCATGTTCTTTCATAATTTATGCAGCAGTCACACATGGAACATTAAAAAATTTTCTTTTGTGTTGTTTGATATTTGAAAGAAAATCCTAGACAAAGGATATCTTAGATAATTCCAACAATATAAAAATTTTAAAATGATGTGATGCAAATTAGGCAACATGTGTCCTTTCACTCGTAGGTTTGTTGCAAGTTGTGTTATTTTTTTGGAGAATTTTCATATTTCTTGGAAGTCAAAGAAATAATATACAATATCTCGTTTCTTGACTGAAGTAGAATATCATTCAATAACTACTACCACATGTGAAGTAAAGTGGATAAAAAACATTCTTTCTAACCTTGATATTTTTCATTCCACATCCAAATGCTTCTATTATACTAGTCAAGTTGTTTTATACATAGTTAAAAATCACATGTTTCATAAACATACCAAATATAATGAAATTGACTATCATTTTATTCATAATGATATACCTTATCGATATTTACAATCATTTTATGTACCCACCTATGCACAACTTACAGTACCAAATCTTAATACATCTATTTTACGCTTTTTTATTGTTTTTATCATATGTTTATACTTCAAAAAGTTGTTAATTGAATATTATTCTTTTTAACTTAATAATAAGAATGAACAAAAAGTTGCAAAGAAAAAATCAAAATGGATTTTGGTTGTGTCTTTCAAATGAAAAAGCATATGTAGAGGAAAAAAAGAATATTGAAACACTTCGAATAAGGCTTGTTTTTCAAAAATAATTTTTAATTTTTAAAAACTAAAAAACTTATTTCATAATTTTATATATATTTTTTTTAAATTTAAAAATAAAACTGATAAAAATATTCTTTTTTTTATTTTAGTTTCTTATTAATGGATATAAACACTTTAACAATTATTAATTTAAATAATTCATTTTCATCGTGATAAAGTTATGAAAATAATTTTAAAAAAGGAAATTTATCAAAATTTTATCTAACTTATTTTCAAAAATATTTTTTTAGAATTAATTTATAAAACTGTTTTTAAAAAGCTAAGAAACAATCAAAAGAGTCCAAAATGTCTCTCTTTATAATTACTTCAAAATTTCTAGCATGTTCTCTGTTTTGATTGGAGCAAAGAGACATTGTAAGATAGTTTAGAAGATCCAATCTTATATTGCACTCAGTTGAATGTTTAGAAGGGAGTTTTCATGGGAAGAAAAAGAAAAACACTTAGTGGAATCAAATATATGATGCCACTTACATCACATGATTCTTAATTTGGTGAAACACACGTAAGGCATGTGCATCCATGTTGAGTCTCGTAATGCTTTCGATCGAGCTAATAATAATGGAGAAAAAAATGACCATAATCAAATATGCCACCATTATCAACAACGGATCATTACTTTAAAACAAAACCAACTCTCCATCTGATTTTACTCCTTCACAACAAGCAATTTTTTTCACACTTTAGCGAGGTACAAAATTATGTTCCATGTTTTCTTTTTAAACTTTCATGAATTAATTTATGTAAAAGAAAGTGGTTATATATAAAGTAATGATAACTTAATCACATTTAATTTAAAATAAGTAAAATATATTGGAGTAAGTGTTTATCACTAGATCAAAAGAGTCTTGGAGGAATTAAATCATATAAAAAAAAAAGGAAAAATATGGAAGAGAAAATTGGTTGACTGAAATGGGTGTCCCTGGTATAAGGGTGACAATGAGTTGTCTTAATTTCTTAATTTAGAAAACTTTAGATCCCATGCATCGGAAAGAAAGGGAAAGTTGTGTAGAAAACAAATTAAAGTTGAGAGGTGAGGAGTCAAAATAATTGTGTATATATACATCATATTATAGGGTGGTGGTAGTTTCAAAATCTGCTTCTATCTCCATGTCATGCTGATGAGGAAACCTATCTCAACTCAACCTTTCTGTAGGGACCCACTTTTATTAATATTTAACCACAACAAACTTCAAATCAATTTCAAGAGTAGGACCAAAAAATAAAATAAATGAAAACTTAACATAAAATTCATATCTCATCCATGCTATCCATTACTTTTTGTTCATCCTTATATATTAAAAGTCTAACTTTTTTAGATACTATAATTCTTTAAGAAATTGATTTACTCTAATAGTTTTTCTTTTTTAACTTAATATATATTTTCATTTCTGATAAACTATTGATTTTACTTAATATATATATATATATATATATATATATATATATATATATATATATATCTTTTAAATCTGTTCATTTCTAACAATTTTATCATTATTAGTGCGATATATTTATTAGTTCTTTTATGATTAATTTTCACCCAAAAAATTGACAAACCAAATTGTGGGTCTTCCGTATTCTCAAAGTACTTCAAATTGCGAAATAAAGTGCTTTAGGGAAAACAAATAAAATAAAAAATTTATTAGACATAAAAGATTAAAAAATATTAGGGAAAGAAAAGAAAATTTGATAATTTATAGTGACCAACAATTTTTTTATATAAATACACATGGATTAGAGATTAAAATTTCAATCACATATTTATAATAAAACACGTTACAGATGATATCCGTTGAAAGCAAGTAGATTGAGGGAAGAGATTGTCCCATGAACAAAGAGAGTCACCACCATGTTGTAGGCCCCAATATGAGGAACTAAGGAAGTGGAGATTGGCACCAATAAAATAGTATGACACCACCATTTGGCTTTTATGTGAGGAACTTAAGATTTTGTAGGATGCAAAAATATATATGGGTTTCATGGAGCCATCTATGATAGGATTCTTTGTTGCCTTAATGTTCACGTAAGAGGGGTATGTTTGGTTGATTTTTACACCTACCATATATTGCACCTTAATTCAACTTAGATATTTGATGCAATATATAAGCTTGGATTTTACACTTACACTCGTGATAGTAAATTTATGATATAATAGAAAACAGAAAGGTTAAAGGCGCATGCATAAATGCAAGCCAAGTGTTTGCCCTAAACCTTATTCACCTTATATTAAAAGGGAGATTGAATGAGGAAAAAATATGTACAAGTTGTTAGAAAAACATGTTTTAACATAAATGCAATTTCATTTTCTTTTTTCAAATTTCTTCAATTTTACAATATGTATTGGAAAAAAAAGATGCACGTAATTAGTAATACTCAATTGATGGTAAAAATTTATCAATATTAAAGAATAAGAAAAAGAAAGGATTTTTCATGAATAAAAAAACTATTGATTTATTTAAAAATACATAATATAATATACTCATTAATATATATATATATATATATATATATATATATATAATCATATTTATATTTTGAATAATGAGTATATAGATGTCAAGTAATTATATAGACTCAAGTTATTAATTATTTTACAAGATTAAATTTTACTCTTTTAACAAGCATAATATATTATCAATCACTTACATTAAATAGAAATGGAGACAATTTTGAACAACGTGATAAAGAAATATAACACAATATTATGGTTTAAGATGAAAAATGCTTAGTTACAAAAAAATTTAAAGAGAATTTGAAGTAATTAATGTTAGTGAGTATTTTATAAAGACTCTCATTATTGTTTATAATTGAAAAGATTTTAAGTTGGTAGACAACAAAGTTTAATTATTTGGTGTTTTTAATTGAATACTGAAACAATATGAAAACAATTACTATTTATGAACAACAAAGTAGTTTATTGGTACATGGACAAAGAATGAAAAGACACAAAGAAGAAGATTGTACTTTAAAGTAAGAATAAAAAATCTAGAGTAAGAGAGGATGACAACATTATTTATAAAGGTAAAACATATGAAGGATATAGAGGAAAAGGTTCAGTTAAATAATTATTTAAGCTCTAGTTGAATGTGAAAGTAATGAAGATCTTTGAATCATTTAAACGAAGATCTTGTTGATTTGATGAAGTCAAAATGAAGTCAAAGGCTATTTTGTTGCAGTCAAAGGTAACTTAGATAAAAGGGAAGAGTGGTTAGTAGTCTGCATCTTTACTTAGGTATAATCATTCTTATCTCTCCGCTGCATGAGGTTTCTTCATTTAAAAGATTTTGCAAATGCCTCTAAAACGTGTTTAAACTGTTAAAAATAAATTATTTTGTTAAATAGTTTTTAAGTAATTGTTTTAACTGATATTATATGATTTTTATCAGCTTAAAATGTTCTTAACACTTTTGTAATAGGTTTTTAACTATTATGTTTTCGAAATAATCAATTTTTTTCATTAGAAGAGTTTTTGAAAACCTTACGTCAAGTATTTTAACCGATGTAGAATTGAAATAATCGATTAAAATGATTTAAGTTGTTTTGAAAAGTGTTCTGACAGAATTTTAATTGATACAAACTCGAAATAATCGAGTAAAATAACTTGAAGTATTTTGAAATATGTTCTGTCAGTATTTTAATCGATACAAACTTGAAATAATCGATTAAAATAACTTAAAGTATTTTGAAAGATGTTCTGTCAGTATTTTAATCGATACAAATGCGAAATAATTGATTAAAACAACTAAGAGATTATTTCCAGAATGTTTTAATCGATTAAAACAAGTTTGTTATCAGTTAAAATAACTTAGGAAGTTTTAGGAAACTTTTTGGCAGAATTCTAATCGATTAAAATACGAAATAATCGATTGAAATAACTAAGAGATTTTTTCCAAAGTATTTTAATCGATTAAAACAGATTGTTATCAGTTAAAATTACTTAGAAAGTTTTATGAAAACTTTTAACAGTATTTTAATCGATTAAAAGGCGAAATAATCGATTAAAACAATTTGAAGGATGTTTTACAAAGTATTTTGATTAATATAAGCGTTGTCGTATCAGTTAAAACAAATCTGGAAAATGATCAAGAACATTTTAACATATTAAAAGAAGTTTTAACAGATTAATTCAAGACTTTTAACAGATTAAAATATTGTTTTAACAGATTGATTAAACCAGCAGTTTGAAAATTCGTCTATAAAAACAAGATTGCTTGAGTCTTTCAAAACACACCTTTGAGCAATCAATTAAGCAATCATAAGTGCTACTTTCAATAGAGAATCGCACATGTTTTGTGAAGTTTTTCGTAGCTCTTTCTTGAGGCAAATTTTGCATTCTTTTTGTGAAGAAACTCTTTCTGCAGAGCTGCATAAACCTGGTTTGAGTGTTCTAGTTTCTTCTCTTTGTTTCTTTACTTTTCTTTACTGTATTGTGGGTGTCTGGAAGTGTGGGCACTGGTTTCTGTGGCTGGAATTTGGCTGCAGGGTTGGTCAAGAACTGGAAGTTGGTTCTTGGTGAAGGTTTAGGTGCAAGGACTGGAATTTTGGTTCTTGTGGTAGATTGGGTGTGTGATTGGAATTGTAATCAGTAAAACATTCAATCTAGTGGAACCCAGCTGGAATTTGGATGGAAATTGGACGTAGCCCTGGGATTGGGTGAACCAGTATAAATCTTGGTTGTATCTTTCTAAACCTTTCTCTCTTTAATTCTGTCACTGCATGTACTTTGATTGTTTGCTTTGTTTGATTCAAGACTTGATCAGAACTCTTAATCTTTGAAATAGATAATCTGTAATTTGCGAAAATCTTTCAAAGATCAATTCACCCCCCCTCTTGATATCAGCCTTCTTTTCTAACAATTGGTATCAGAGCAAGGGTCTTGAAAAATACTCAAGACTTTCGGTCCAAATCTTTCATGGCCAAAAACAAATTACCTTTTTCTGTGGGAGCTTCTATTAATAGACCTCCACTGTTTTGTGGTACAGATTATCCATTTTGGAAGATTAAGATGAAGATCATTATTGAATCCATTGATAGGAATGTTTGGGATGTAATTGTTAATGGTCCATTAATTACAGAAAAAGAATGGTCTAGTCTAAGTGATGAAGAAAAGAAAAAAGTTCAAAGTGATTGTTGTCGCCGCCGTCCCTTTCCGACGTCCGGAGGGGGACGTCTTAGAAACGTTTATGCGAGCGGTCGCGAAAAGATGGTTTAGACTCGCGTTTTTGTTTTAAAAGGTTTTCGAAAAGGGGTTCTTATGGAGTCGCCACCAATGTTTTGACCGTAAACATTGGAAAAGGAAAAAATGTTGATTTTAAGAAAAACCGCACTTGGCCATTATAACCAGAGTTGGGTAAGGGAGTTAGTTACGTGTGGGGAAGGTGTTAGCACCCCACGCCCCTTTCGGGTTCCCTATGACAGATTAATTCATTTAAATAAAGACTACGAGAAATTATGCGATTACCCTATTTTATTACATAATATTAAATGGCTATCTACATGATTTTATTCTATGTTGCGTGTATAAAATGATGAATAAAGCTAAATAAAGCAATAAAAGAGATATTAAAATAGCTATCTACATGATCCTATTCTACATGACATAATAAAGCTAAATAAAACAATAAAATAATAAATAAAACAATAAAAGAGAAGGGAATTGAAAAGAACCTCCGTAGCAAGCTTTATATTGAGAACCTCGAACCGTGAGGATGCGTTTTGGCAACCTCTCTCTCTACACGCCTCTCCTCACCAATACAGGATCGACTCTACTAAAAATTTAAAGAAGAATCAAATGCCGAATATAATTCCTTAACCGATTGTTACCTATTTAAGGCAATCTGAAAGATCATTCGAGAGAGAGAGAGAAGTAGACAAGTGCTCTAAAGTGTTTCGCAGCTCTCTGGAGTGTCCGTGGTGTGAAAAAGTGACAAATGAGCCTCCTATTTATAGTTTTCGAAGCCGGCGCACTTCGGGACCACCGTCTGGACCGGACGGCCGTCTGGATCGGGACGGCCGTCCCAAATGGCAAAATTACACAGGCCGGGACCCCCGGGGACCCGGACGGCCGTCCCACTTTTCTCGGGCTTGGGACGGCCGTCCCAACTCTCGGACGCGCGTCCCAACCGGCCGGAGCAGCTGGGACGGCCATCCCACCTTTGGGACGGCCGTCTCGACCGTTCCGGCCAGTTCGCGCTTCGGACTCCGGAAGCTTTCCTTGCCTGTTTTGGACGTCGCTGATGCCGATATGCGTCTCGTTGAAGCTTTATCTTCATGTAGGAAGTCTCCTTGGCTCTTATTTGTAATGCTAGACGAGCTTTATCTTGTTACGGGTGATCTCTTTTATCTTTATTTGAGAGACCGGCAAAATTAGGGGTCTACAGCTGCCCCTCTTCTCTCGCCTAGCTAATTTATTGGCCTAATATGCCGATAAAATTAGCCGGTAGGAGAAGGAGTTAACCCTTTTTGTCCTGGCTATCCTTCTGGATGTCGCTTTGCCGACGTTGCCGATCCTCCGGATGATGAATAGTTTTGATAGGTACCAACCCCTATCCGGTTTGATGAGAATGAACCCTCGTCTGGTAAGCTCCTTTTTGTAAGGCTTGATGAGTATACACCCCCATCCGGTGTTTGATGAGTACGAACCCCCATCTAGTTTTTGAGTTTCACTATATAATGTTCTCGTGAGTACTTACCCTCACCTGGTAGGAGTCTCGCATTTTGACTAACTCGATGAGTACTTACCCCCATCCGGTATGAACCCCGTTCCGCAAGGTTTTTGATAAGCCTCGTTCTACAAGGCTTAGGTGAGTACGTACCCCCACCCGGTATGAAGTTTTTGGTAAGCCCCGTTCGCAAGGCTTAGGTGAGTACGTACCCCCACCCGTATGAAGTTTTTGGTAAGCCCCGTTTCGCAAGGCTTAGGTGAGTACGTACCCTCACCCGGTATGAAGTTTTTGGTAACCCCCGTTTTGCAAGGCTTAGGTGAGTACGTACCCTCACCCGGTATGAAGT